TCACCCACGCATCCAGTCCCCCCTGGCCTGGTTGTGGTGAAACGGGTGTCTGGCACCCTCCTCCTTTAGGCCAGTAGATAGCACGGGGGAGGCCGGCCGATACTTGACTGTGACACGTTGCCAGAGCCTGCACGCGCTGGAACATCTTTGTGGATGCTCCAGAAGAAGCCTCAGGCTCATCCTAGGAACTACAGGGAGGGTGGCATACATGATTTCAAAGGGGGTTAAACCCAAGTGATAAGTGTTCCAGGCTCGCGAACAGGGCGGAACGGAAGGAGGGTCACCCAGTCTCCGCAGTCTCCAGGCGGGCCGAATTTAGTCAGGGTCTCCTTTTATTGTTCTATTCTCTAGCTCTACCTGCCCAGGAGCTCTGGCATTATATGCACAATGCTATTCCAATCTATCCCCATAGCCTGCCAGGCCCTGGACTAACTCGGACAGATAAACGCAGGTCGTCATTTATTTGATCTTATCCCTCGGCAGTCATACCTGGGACTATTTCCTTCTAATATTTCTTAGCCTACTGTCAAAAGCTTTTCTCCTTTCGTAGGAAGTCTTGTACCCATCTGAAAACCTCATCTACGATGGACCAGCATAATATCGCGCTATCCATATTTTCTAGGCCTGACCCTCCTGTGAAATCCAACTTCCCAAAATAGTCCTGGGCTGCCCTCCCCTTTCCTCTTGTACCTGCGGTGGGTCCCTCTGCCGTCCTCCCCAGCTGCATGACCTACAGGCTCGGCAACTTTTGGACGATGTCATCTGGAACCGTCCTTGTGACTTGAACCTTGAGGTTGCAGCAGCTGTCCAGCAGTGGGTAGGGCATCTTTTCTTCCTTTAGATGTGTGGGTCTGATGCAGGTGTTCTAACAGGTGCGCCGTCCTAAGAGTTCTGGCACTATTAGGCGGATGCCCCTTCTTGTCCTTTGCCAACCAGCCATCTTCACTTGTCGCTTACACGTAGCTGCTCTGAGGCCCAGACCTCATCTTACACTGGAATAGTCTGCAGAGGAGGCAACTGTCCATGCCCGGGGTTGTGGGCAGGGCTTAACCGGTGCAGCGATGTTTGGCTGCGGATGCCTTCTGCAGCCTTTTTAGCTTTAGCGTCTTGCCTCTCCGATTGGCCCCGTGCTTCCACCGAATCCCTCGCTCTGGTGTTCCGGGTTATGGACTACCACCACTGCCTTTGGCAGCAAAACAGCCTCCACCTGAAAGTGGAGTATTTCAAGTTTGTGCTTAATTTCTTTTCCCTCTGCCGTGATGAAGCCCCTTTCCCTGCAGAGGGCCCCATGTATGTGCACAGTCCCAAAGGCATAGCAGCTGTCAGTGTACACCGTCAGCCTTTTTCCTCGGGCCCGGCTAAGAGCCTCCGTCAGCGCTATTAGTCTGCCTTCTGAGCAGATGTCCCTTGTGGAAGGGCATGCCGCCCAGACAAGTTTACCTTTGGTCATCTACTTTGGGCCGCCCCTGCGTACCTGCATCCGTCCCGGATGAAACTGCTTCCGTCCGTGAACCAGGTCAGGTCGCTACCTGGAAGGGGGCGATCCTTCAAGATCTCTACGAGTCGTCTGGGTCTCAGCTAGGATCTCAAGGCAATCATGTTCAGGTGCGGCTGCATCGGGGGTTGGCAGAAGCGTAGCCGGATTCAAGGCGGCAGGGGTCTGGAACTCGATGCCGGGTGCGTCCAGCAAAAGTCCTTGGTAATGAGTCAGCCTCACATTTGTGATCCACCGTCCCGGTGGCTGCTTCAGAACCCCCTCTATGGCGTGCGGGTGGTGATCTGCAGCCGCTGCCCCAGGGTGAGCTTATCAGCGTCTTTGACCAACAGGGCCGTATCACATAGATTTTAATCTCTGCAAACCTGGGTAATGAAAACGGAAAGAGGGCACTAAAGATTCCAAAATCATGATTAAAACAAAGTACAGCCAACTCTCAATTATCCAGAGATGAACTAAGACATGTCAGAAATGAACACGTTACAATCTCTGCTCTCAAAGGAGTTTAAAACCCAGTTGAGGTGACAAACAAACACACCAGTAGGAGTGAACTGAGAGGATAGGTGGTAGACAAGGTGGGCTACAGTAGTGTCAGCAGCCCTGAGTTCTGCAATGTCACTCTGAGGCCATGGGGTGCAGTGACCACACTGAAAACCCGATCCTGGGAACTGCTCAGAGTAGAAGTTCTTATCTGTGAATATGGAGGCTGGTACTACCAAACTAGGCCCTGAAGGAATGGCCTGGTTTCGATGGAGGCTCAGGTTTTGGAAATGGCAGACAGGTTGCATGAGGTGCTACATCAATAGGATAAAGGATACCTGAGCTTCCAGAGGGACAGCAGATGCTCATCAGGGAAAGCAGGACCAAGGCAGGCCTGCTTCCAAATTTTCCATGGCAAATGATAAGTAGTGAACCCTAGGTTTGCTCTTGGTTTGGTTTTTCCCATTGAAGATACCCAAGAAAAGATCAGGTTACCTGACTAATCTTTTTCCTTAATGTTCTGTCCCCCCTGGCCAGTGGCTCTTAACCCTGGGTGTTCATCTGTTGGAATCCCCTGGGGAAGTTGTTACTTAAAACACTCATCTCCTGGCCATACCTGAAACTTCCTGAACCACAACTCCTCTAAATAGGGGCCCCGATGTCCGTGGTTTACCCTGGTGATTCCGGGGAAGTTCTGTGTCAGTTAAGCTTGCTAGTCTTCTTTAGGCCTAGGAGCAGCAGCAGGAATTAGAAGAGGGAAAGTTGTGTCACAAAAGAGCTATCTTTCAAAATCACTTATCAGTTCTCCTGAGTGCTCTTCCAGGGTACATGGCAGGCCATTCCCTTGGACAGACTTACATCATCTTTTTAAAGAGAGCTATATTTCTCCATCAGCTGCTACATGGCCCAAATTCCACCCTAAGAGACCCACTGTGTTGGAGTGAGGCATTGTGTCTCCAGCGTCCGGCAGAGAGCCTGGCACACTGCAGGCTTATCAGCCAGGTGAGGCCAGGTTATGCTGCAGTGGGAAGCGGCTCCCAGGTCTTAGTGACTTAAAACAACAAAGGTTTGTTTCTTGCTTATGCTCCAGGTCCATAGGCGGCCAAACTGTGGACTTCTTCCCACATATCTTCAATTAAGAACCCAAGCCAATAGAGCAACCTCCATCTGGAATATGGCTGGCCTCAGTGACTGAAAGACAGAGGGTTCTGGAGGGCCCCGTGTGGCAATTAAATGCTCTCCCCACTCACCACTCATTGGCCCAAAATGTCCCATGGCTCCACCCAACGATGAGGAGAGCATGAAAATGCAATCCTGCAATGTGCTGAGAAGCACAGAGCCATACCCATAAATACTTAGTGCACAGCACTAATAACTACCACAGTGTGTATTCAATAAATATTTGTAAAAGAAAATAACAGTTGGGCAAAAATCCCCTTACAAGACAAAAATCATTAAGCCCACCTTTATCCTCCTATGACATTTTTTCCCTGAGTTGAGAAGGTGGTGAGTGAAATCAAGGCTAAATGAGCACACAGCCTCCACCCTCTCTGTCACTTCGGTTGGCACAGCCCTAAGGGACTCCTGTTGGCTCTCTTTTCTCTCCAAATCTAACCTCTGGAGAAGGCCGCTCAGTTGCCCTGAGTTCCTGTAAGTCACGTTCCAGTGGTGTGAGAGATGGCTCTGGTGTGTGGCAGTGGATTCCTAGCAACTGTAGAGGAATCAGGAGCTGCTGAAACCAGCTCTGCTCTCTTCAAGAGCAGATTCTAGATTAACTAGAGCTGGCCTCTTCCTGGCCATTTTCTGCCTGATTACCCACCAAGTTTCTCTTCTCTTTCTCACTGCTACTCCCCTCCATCCCAGATGAGCTATTCTGGTTTTCCCTGGACATTTCGTTGGTTTGGGCAGAGTAATACCCACCTCTAGGGTAAGGCAAGCAGGAGTCGAAAGTGCAAAATTGAAAGAGGTACTCATGAGCAAGTGGAGTGCCGGCACTTGAATGTCCTAAGAGTGATGCCTCTTTAAATATTGTGCCCTAGGGTGTTGTATCTGAAACCTCCTAAGATATAACTTCTCTGAACAGGGGTTCTGGGGGCTGCACTGTTACCCTAGTGATGCCGATGTAGCTTCACCCTAGTCCTGGCCCTGCTCCCCTGCCTCCCCCCTCTGACAACTCCTGGACCCACGGGGCCCACATCTATGGATAAGCCCCAGCTCAAGAGCTTTGAAATTCTTGTTTCCCCCCTCCTTCAGTCACTGTTTTGATGCCCTCAGAAACATCAAGGGCTCTTCTCAACTGTCCTTCAGATGGGCCCTGCCTTTAAACCGATCACAATGGTGTCTTTCTCCTTGACCCAAGTAGAAATACCCATGTTCTAGTTTATATGGAATTCCCAGATTTGCAAAGTTTGTTAATAAGAGACCATTAAATTTGCCACTTCTCCTATCAGAGAAAACAAGGCTACAAAAGGTGAATGTTCCACAGAATGATGGAGGCCATTCAATCCTCAGTCTCCTGACTTCTAGTCCAGAGCCTTTTTCAACTTCCACCCTACAACCCATGCCACAGAAGTCATGTATTCACTGAACATGCAGGCTCAGAGAGAAGAAAGTCCACCTGTGGGCCAGAGCTCTGGCCAGTGATTATGGAGCCCCATCCTGCTCAGGATCTTCCCTTCCTGACAGTGGACAACAGCTTCAGCCCTTGGATTCAAGACTGCCAGTGACTGTTCCTTCCTGATTCCCTGCCCTATGGATTTTAGACTTGTTTAGACAACTCCCATGATCACTTAAACCAATTCCTTGTAATATCTCTGTCTCTCTCTCCGCCCCTACCCCGAGAGGGAAAGGTCAGTGCTGCAGGTGGTAGTGATGAGAGGGCTTGGGTCTGGGGAGCTGCGGAATTGAGAAACTGACAGCTCTGTACACCTGCCTTGGTCCCAGCCCATTGCCCCTTTGGCTTTGTCTCTATCAATAATGCATCCCTCATTCACATCTAGTCTCCTTCTAGATGGAGCAAGATTCACCTGCATCCATGATATCCCCAGGTCCCCTCAAATGAGCCCCTACCCCCTCCAAGTTTGGTTTGGGTCATCCCACTGGGTCCCTCTGCTGCCATCTCACAGCTAAATGAGACCCAACCACACACCTCTGTCCATTCAGCTCTCTGGAGAGTGGTTTGCTCAATGAAGAATGAATAGATCCTATGTCTAATAAGAGAAAAGCTTTAAAGAGTGAAAATTTAAGAAAATGTTAACTTATTCAGTTAGCTTATTCCAGTTAACTTATTCCAGACCATTGCTGCATATCAATAGGCAATGAACAAACCCCTAGTGACTGTTGCCACTTTACTTGCTTTGAATACAAAGAAATGGATAAAAGTGTATTTAAAAGGAAAAGAAAAACTATGTGGTCCCATATGATAATCAGCTGCCTTTTTATTAGCGCATTGCATCTTAAGCATGCTCTTCTGCCTCGTCATTCTGAATGAAGTCTACAGGAGGGAACACCCAGTAAGCATGGCAGGCAACCTCCTCAGAAAGGCCCTAGAGGCCCCAGAAGGGGCTCCCACTCAGCCTTCTCTCCGCCTCCCTCTCCCCAACAAGACCCCTTGCTGGCAAGAATTTTAACCTATCGTTGGCAAATAGAATCATCTTGGGGTCATCTTTGCCTGCTCCCAATTCCTTACCTTCCACCCGGTAACTCAGATTGAATCTCTCTCAAATATACCTCCTCCTCCAGCCCCAAGGCCACTCCCCTAGCCAACCACTAGCATCAGCCAGGGCAGCAGCCACCCAGCTGATCTCATGCCTCCACTCTACTTTATTCTACTCAGTCTCTACCTCCACTCATTTTAAGGGAATCCAGAAATTCGACTAGCAATATAGAAAGATAAAATAAATGAAAATGGACCCTTCTTTTTTGCACCCTGCAGCCAAAGTAACATTTCCAAGAGCAAACATAAATATATTTAAAATCCTCATGGATCCCCATAGCTTCTCCAATGAGAGCATTCATTCATTCATTTGCTCATTCATTCACTCATTCATTCAGCAAGTGTTTATTGGACCCCACCAAGTGCTGGGCACCATTCTAGATTCTGGAGTTACATTAATGAACAAGTCAGGCAGAGCCCCTGCCCTCAAGGAGCTTATAGTCTAATTCAGTCACGCCAACAATTCTAGTGCAGTCTCTGACAAGGGAAGAAAAAAGTGTCCTCAGCATGGCACAGAAAGTTCTACGTTTACCCAACATACTTTGCTAGCATCATCTTTTGTTCTCACCCCTAACCCCCCTCCATATGCCAGCCACTTATTTTCCTAGAATATCCCCAGAATAAGCTTTGCTTATGCCATTTCTGAATCCTGAAATGCCCTTCCCTCATTAATTAATTATTTTAGCCCATGAGTCAGTCAATATATATTTATTGAGGATATACTATGTGCCAGGTACTGTGCAGACACTGAAGACACAATACTGTGCAAAACCAGATACAATCCCTGCCCTAAAGAACATTCTGGCTAGTGGGGGAGACATTCATGAATCAAGGGACCACATAAGATGTAAATTTATAAGTATGATAAAGTTCTATGAAAGAGAGACACAAGGTGCTAATGACAGCATGTACCTGAGACATGACAGAGTTGGCAGACTCAGGAAAGACTTTCCTAAGGAAGGCAGATTTAGCTGGGACCCAGGAAAGGAGAGCATGCTCTAAGCATGCAAAGGCAACAGGCAAATTCCCTGTGGCAGGACACTGTGGTACCTCCAAGGGACTGAAAGAGGCAGAGTTGGCGAGTGAAGAGGAGATGGTGGAGCAGAGGCTGGGGTAGACCAGACAGAGCCGTTAGAGCCACAGTAACGATCGGTCCTTGTCTCCAGAGCAATGGCAAACATTTTTAATAAGTGGCCTGGAGTCATGACCAGCCTGCCACCATCCTTTAGGACCCACATTAAATATCCCCCTACCTTCACTAATGCTCCAGGCAGCCCCCATGCTGTGTACCATCTCCAATAGAGATGCACCACGTCTTGATATGTGGTGAGAGTTATTCTGTGTCTGGCTTCTCAGTTGGTGATAAGTCTTCAAGAGCCAACATCCTGTCCTCTTCATCTTTTCATCTTTGTAACCTTAACCTCAGAGTGTCTGGCCTGTTGCATGTGTTCAGTAAAGATTTGTTGAATCAATCTATCAGTCGACATGTGAAGATGCCAATCTATTTTATTTCCTCCCCTCTGCCATCCTGCCCACTCAGGAAATTTCCACCCCATTGCCAACAATTTCCCTGCCTCCTTTCTCTCCCCCACACCACCCATCCTCCACATGGCTACCAGGGTTCCTTCCTAAACATAGGTCAGAACAGGCCTCTCTGCTCTTTACATAAACCTTCATTGATTCACCCATTGCTGGCAGGACCAAATCCAAATTCTTTAGGTTAATTATCCAACATACTTCATGATTCAATCCCAAACTAATCTTCTTGCCTCATGTTTCATTGCATCCTTGCTTCCCCGTACTCTATGTTCCAATTACAATCAAAGCTCTAGAACAGGGATCCTCAAACTTTTTAAACAGGGGGCCAGTTCACTGTCCCTCAGACCGTTGGAGAATGCGCACACATTCCACACATGCACACTGAGGGCTCTGGGCCAGTTGGCTGTTAAGCAGGACAGACAGGCAGCGGCGGCAAAAATACCCAGTGGGCCGGATAAATGTCCTCAGTGGGCCACATGTAGATCCCTGCTCTAGAATATTCCTCAAGTATTTCCACTCCCACCTCCATGCTTTTGCTTAGGCTGTGCTCTCAGCCTAGAATGTTCTTCCCTCCTATTTCCTTAATTAGAAAACTACTGGTGCTCCAAGATATAGCTCAACTGCCAATCCATCCCAAAACTTCTCCCCTGATGCCCAAATTCAGAATTAGTGGCTTCTGTTTGTATAGATATATTTTTTCCTAGCGCCTTGCCCAATAACTGGTATATCATAGTCATCAAAACAAAAAGAAATAGCCCCATTCTGTCCCTGCCCTGCAACCTCCCTGCACCAGCCGCCATGGCAGCAACAAGGAGTGGGAGGAATGGGTAAGCAGCTCTCTCCTCCCCACATGGGAACATGCATTCCCAGGAGAAAAAGAAACACAAGGCTTCCCTTGTTCAAATATTCAGACAAAAAATGACCCAAGTTGTATTCTAGGAAATTATTTCTAAGCCAACAAAGAACCATCCATTGTTTCTTGACTATTTCTGAAGCTCAGAGATTAAATATGAAGTTTATAATTTACATACTATTATATAAATTAAAATGCCCCCCACATTGCTCATTTTTAAAGCTCATTTTTTACTTTGTTTAAAAGCTATTTACTCTGGAAGCCTTTCAAATATATATCTAAAGACTTAAACTTATGATATACTCAGCTGAATATGAACTATGAGAACAATTCCCCACACAGTGAGTCAGTGGTGTCAACACTGAACACATAGGACATTTTTCATCTGCTTTAATTAAGACACAAAGGAATAGCAAAAAATATTAATCATGTGGCTGATTAAAAATAACTTCCTAAACATCTGCTGTAGGTCAGTAGTAGTTTTTGAATTATTTAAATCAATGTTTAATGACTGGCATGAGTGTAAACACCTCTGTGACACAAAGAATATAAATCACTCTCTCTATGTGCAACCTTCATTGATACCCACCTTTTCATCCACCAGTCTTTTCTTTATTCCCCAAAACTGGCTTTCATCAACCTTCCCAAGTCTTTAATGCCTGTTTGCATACAATGCAGGCTGGGCATTGTACAAAGTGCTCCGTTTTCTGGGAAACAGTCTAACTCAGACACACACATGCAGGCAGAACATAGACAATAAAATGATCCCAGTTATATATTAAATACAACATAAGCAAATTTAGTTTTCTTCATTTTTCTGTTAGCTTGTGCAGGACCACTCCATTGAAGTTTATTCTGTCTTCATGACCACCCTGAGGTAAGAAAGCCAGGGATTTCTATCTCCATTTGATTAGTGACCACACTGAGAGCAGAGAAGCTAAATGGTTTGCCCAAGTCCACACTGGTCTGTAGGTGACAGGGCCATGAATGAAATCCAGTTCTTCTGACTACAAACCTAGAGCTCGCTCCCCTTCCCACAGGTGATTCCCACAGATGAGGGAAGAACATTGAGAGATTTATAAGGTCAGTGCTGCTGGGAGTGAGAGGTGAGTCTAGGACTGGTGTTCAGAAGCAGGAGACAGGAAGAGGTTTAAGGAGCCATGCTGGCTTAGATGGGTAGGATGGGAGCAGCTGACAAATCTAGTGAACAGGCCATGAAGGTCTGTGGTGAAGTGGATTTTCAAGACCCTTTGAAATTATGGGATAGCTGCGTTGGTATGTGGCAAGATGAGAAAAGAGGGTAATGAAGCTGCAGGGCCTTGACTCTTACTCTGGTTTCCATTTAATTTCAAAAGACATATCCAGGATAGAAAATCCTAAACGCCCCTTCAGCTTCCCTCTCTTTTCCTACCAGAACAGAAGCTAAGTTCCTAAGGCCTATGGCTGCATCAGTGATGCCTGGAATGAACAATGAGCTCTGCCAGTCTTGTCTCTGTTCTCTGCCAGTGTGTAAATCAGAGTGACAAAGCAGCTGTCACGGTAACTTGGCTAATTAAATTAGAGCCCACTGAATGCTTTATTGACCTGAAGCTCACGCCAGTGAGCAGGCCCTCTTTGAAGGTGACTATATGCAAGGCTGTTAGTTAACAGATTAAATAAAATGGACAAAGACAGTAAGAGGCAATAGGAAAAGTCCTGTCAGTGTAAACACAGTGTCTAAAGCACAGCTGCTGGGGTGTATGACCTGTAGACTTGTTTGTTATTATGGGTTGAATTGTGTCCCCTCAAAATTCATATGTTGAAGTCCTCAGTTGAGTAACTCCTTCTCTGGAGCTTTACCTCTTTAGAAAGGTAATCAAGCCGGGCGCGGTGGCTCACGCCTGTAATCCTAGCTCTCTGGGAGGCCGAGGCGGGCGGATTACTCGAGGTCAGGAGTTCGAAACCAGCCTGAGCAAGAGCGAGACCCCGTCTCTACTATAAATAGAAAGAAATTAATTGGCCAACTGATATATATATAGAAAAAATTAGCTGGGCATGGTGGTGCATGCCTGTAGTCCCAGCTACTTGGGAGGCTGAGGCAGAAGGATCGCTTGAGCCAAGGAGTTTGAGGTTGCTGTGAGCTAGGCTGACGCCACGGCACTCACTCTAACCTAGGCAACAAAGCGAGACTCTGTCTCAAAAAAAAAAAAGGTCATTAGGATGGGCCCAAATCCAATGTCATTGGTATTCTTAAAACAAGGGGAAATTTGGACACAGAGACATACACACAGAGAAAACCATGTGAAAAGACAAAAAGAGAAAATGAACATCTATAAGGCAAAAAAATAGAGCCCTGTAACGGATCCTTCCCTCAGAGCACCAAAGGAACCAACCCTGCGGAGACCCTGATTTTGGACTTGCAGCCTCCAGAACTGTGAAGACAATACATATGTCATTTAAGCCACCCAGCCTGTATTATTTTGTTACAGCTGCCTAGCAAACTAATACATTTGGAAATAGATGAGAGGCAGAAAGACCCCTGGATGAGGAGGACTTTTTGTGAGAACAACAAAAAGAGCACCCTTTCTAGAAGCAAACAAACCTGGGCTGAGACTCTAATTTTGCTATTACCCATTATGTGTCCTCAGTCAAGGACACATAATGTCTTAACCTCTTTGTGCCTTGATTTCTCATCTGTAAAATAGGGATGATAATAACTTCCTCACTGAGGTATTCTTAGGATTAAATGTGAACATATAGTCTTTGGCTCATGCAGATCCAGGCCCCACACGGCCCCTCACAACCAGGCATAGTCACCAACACAAATTCTGACCATCTACCAAATACTGATGATAATAAACAAGAGTCACTTTTGTAAAATAACTATGAAATGCACTCTAGCCTGATGTTGCCACACCCTGTATGGGATTCTGCACGTTAAGATGAATGCTTTCTTTCTCAGTTCTTCACGTCCCACCAAATTTATCACACACTTATCCTGTTTCTCCGTGTCTCTGGAGACCTCAGCTTTATGATCAGAAATTGCCCTCCTTCATTTCTCCTGCCAGACATGGGTGAGGAGGGGAAGATCTGTTAAACAGTCCCCAGGACCCACCCCTCACCACCTCACCCGCTGTAGACACCCATCTAGACCTTGAGGAAAAAAGTGCACCTCTTTTTTTAATGCCTAGTTAAAAAAATGCTTGTTACTGAAAACCTCCCACATTCACTCAAAAATAATAAAACCAAATGGAAAACCACCTCCAGTAGCAATAATAATAAAGTCACATAATAAAACCCTATTTGTCCAGAATTGTGGGGAAATTGGTTGTTTTGGTTAACTGCCTATTCCATTTAAAAGTTATCCTATCAATTAGCCGGCCATGGTGGTGCATGCCTATAGTCCCAGCTACTTGGGAGGCTGAGGCAGTAGGATTGCTTGAGCCCAGGAGTTTGAGGTTGCTGTGAGCTAGGCTGATGTCATGGCACGCACAACAAAGTGAGACTCTGTCTCAAAAAAAAAAAAAAAAAAGTTATCCTATCAAAACTAAAGACCAACTTTCAAAAAATTAGAATGTAAATCAAATATGCCAAATGCCAAGTGCACCAGGATAGTTGGATCTTTACTTGGTTCTCTTCACTTCTCTTTTCTCTTTATTTGGGCTATATGGCCACACATTGTATGGGGCCTGACCTCAAATAAGTCCATATTTATTAAGCTTCTCTGCCCAGCTCTACAATAGGAGAAGCATTAGATACTATTCCTGCTTTCAAAGAAGCTCCAATTTAGTTGAAGAACTACCTATGTTATTAAGCTCTACATGTGTGCGTTGAGCTTGAAGTACTGAACACTGGGAATTGACATTCTGTGATCACTACTCGGTGCTGTGTGTTTTACATATATTACCTCATTTAATCTTCTCATGTTCTGTCATATTATTATCCTCATTTTACAAACGAAGATTCTGAGTTTTTTGTTTGTTTGTTTTTGTTTGAGACAGTCTTGCTCTCTTGCCCAGGCTAGAGTGCCGTGGAGTGATCATAACTCACTGCAACCTCAAATTCCTGGGGTCAAGCAATCCTCCTGCCTTAGCCTCCTTAGTAGCTGGGACTATAGGCATGCACCATTATACCCAGCTAATTTTTTAAAAATTTTTTTGTAGAGATAAGGTCTCACTATTGTCCAGACTGGTCTTGAACTCCTAGCCTCAAGCTATCCTTCCCACTCAGCCTCCCAAAGTGCTAGGATTAAAGGCGTGAGCCACTGCACCCAGCCTTCTTAGTCTTGATAAAGAATAAATAACAGGCCCAAGGTCACAGAGCTAAGTAAATGTCAATTTGGGTATGAAACTCAGGTCAGTGTGACCCCACAGCCCACCCTGGCACTTCATCTCTCCAAAGCTGCCTCTTCCACCCATCCTCTTATCTAATTCCCTGTGGATCAGCTGGCTATAGCAAAAATCCTACAAAGGATCAGAACAAGCTCCTTCTGCCCTTTTTTTCCCCTTCCCTTTTTATCCCCACCCACAGCTCCTACCAATCTCTCCCAAGATTAGCAGAGATTTAAAAAACACAGAGAACTAAGAATAAGGGCTTCTCAGGAGCCCTTTTCTTCTACTCTGAAGCAAACTTCATCGCAAACTAAAAAAGGAGGTGTTTGCTGTCCTAGCTTCACTGGAAGAATAACATTATTCTTTCAATGAGACTGTGACTTTGTCTTTATTAGAAAAAAAAAAAGCTGTCAAATAGGTCTGCTTTTCCTCTAACTGAACTACTTTTTCCTTCTTACTGCTTCGCTGTCAGAAATTAGTGAAAAGACAAACAAAAACCAGAAAGTTAAGACTCTATTGAGTTCCCAGGGACCTCAAGTTAAATTCTCATAGGTTGATAAAGTGAACATTAAACAATTGGGCACTTAAGGTGAAAATAAATAAATAAATAAATAAAGAATTAGAAACAATACAGCCATATGTATGTACTACAGCACCACCAAGCCAGCTGGAAGAGGTAGCTGATATTTTTCTAAAATAAACAAAAAGTTGTCACCAGGATGTAGGGGATTTCAGCTTTCCATAAATCAGCTAGAGGCCCACTCTGCTAAAAATCAGAATGTCCAATGTGTTTTTTAATTGCCTTGCTAATAACTACCTTTCAGAAAGTCTAAGAAGTAAACAGGGAACTTTTTATCCAAAACATCAGTTACAGAACAATTGCAAATGTCACAATGGGGGAGGAAGAAATGGTGTGGCCTAGGCACAGGCCTTGACTTTAGAAAAGCATATTCCAAAGAGCACAGAAAAATGCCAAAAATGATCTCATGGCCAAAGACTTTAAAAGAAAGATATCATATTATGGATTAAAGAAAGGTAAGGATGGGGGGCTTTCAAAATAGAAAATCTGACCATATAATAAAATAAAATGATACAATAAAAAACAGGAGTACAGTTACAGATGGAAACTAGCAATGAATTCTATGAAACAACAACATAACACAAAACAACAGTCTCTTCATAAGCAAAACTGTAAGAATGGCCTGAACACGGAAAAATGGTGACAGGAAGATCACCACCCAGAATATGCTAGAGTTTATAAAAAACATTATTTCAAGGGATTGGTGGGGGAGGTATTCTTTTCAGTGAAAGAAAAGGAACAAGAAAGAGACTATGCTTGGAGATGATGACTTGATGTTAAAAAAAATGACAGAAAGAAAGCTGAAAGGCTTAAACAGTATTTTGCTTTTATATTCTCTATCAAGGAGAATTATCTTCAATCTGGAAAGAATAGAACAAATGTAGTTGAGAGAAAAATGAAGCCTAAGATAGGTGAAAAGATAGGGAAAGAAAACCTGTGTTTTAAATGAGTTCACAATTCTAGACCCAGATGAATTATATCCCATGGGACTTAAAAGAAACTGCAAATGCAATCACAAAATCATATTACATAGTCCTTAAGATAAGCAAGTGCCCTAATATTCAAAAAGGGGACAAAAGCTCTATTGCTACTTCAGACCAATGCAACTAAAGTCAATTTTACAAAAGATCCTAGAACAGATTACTATGTAGATAGATAGTTGGTGAGCAAGAAGTCCTAATTTTTTAAGTTTTAAACAACAATGTAAGTACAAATATGATAAACTATTTAGACTGTATTTAGGAACACAGCTTAGTACTGAAGTTAAATGAAATTTATAATAGTGACATATTTAATGTTATACACAATTTTTATCATACTGCATGATAATCAAGCATAGAGCCCTTCATGCAAATGAAAATGATTACCATTCTTTTAAAAGCAGCATTTCTCTTTTTTTATTTGTTAATTATTTACTTACCAAGAGAAACTATTCCTCAGCCTGAGTATTCATAGCTCAGGAACACAAGTCAGTGACAAACTTCTACATAAATCAACCTAAAGAAATTCTTTATATTCCAAAATCACTTTGCACTCTGAAAGATACCAGCCTTCCTCATCTCCTCAAAATCTTTCATAGAATCATAATTCCTGTAGAAATCTGCATATGCCTTCTTACTTGGTTCAGCCACAGCAAACTTATACAAAACTGCAACCCCCAAGGATAAAATGGATGCTCTGACAATATGAAACTGTAAGTACCTGGCCAGGAGCCACGGTATCTGAGGCTCCATCAAAGTGCTGGAAGCCATGGTAGTTACGTCCTTGATGGGTATGCCAACCTCAACACAACTTCCTGGCTGCTAGAGAAATGAACTACCTAAAAGCAGCATTTCTGAAGTAAGGAATGGGGAATGGAGACAGAAGCCAGCAGTGACTCCACTCCCCACCACTACATTCAGACAAATCTTAGGGAAGAGGTGGCTCTGCCTTAAACAAGCCAGTCCCAGACTCCAAATGCCATCCAGTGCTAGGACTCAGTAGGTGGAGCTGGTAACCATGTCTTCTGGATTCCCTGTGAAAGTAACCCAGGAAAATGTGGTTCACCGGGATAAGGGATATCCTTATCCTCTCTGATCAAATAATCAGCAGAGGGAAGTCTTCCAGCACCTTTTGAACACGCAGAAACTATGGGATTGGGTTAGCTGGAGTAAGTGGTTTAGGCAGAAGGAAGGAGGAGACAAAGGGGAAAACAAAGGCATGATCACTTGTCAGTGCTTTTGAGGTGTTTGTTATTTAATATCAAGTGTTCAGGGGATGGGAGTAGAATGGATGTATTAGGGTGGTCTGAGTAGAGAAGTGAGGTAGGGGAAAGAGGAGGGAGGCAGGCACCTAGTGGACAGCTCCGGGGACAGAGGTGGAGAATGATAAGAGTTGAAAGAAAGATGCAACAAGAGAAACTCCAAAGAAACAAAATTCACAACTATGGAATGAGCCCTGAGTTTGAATACACTGCCTGCCATTTGCTAACATTCCAGTGTGTGTTTGTGGGAGCAGGGGCAGGGAGGGAGGAGAGGCAGAGATGATGCAAGACTGACCCTGGGATGATAATTGTTGAAGCTGAGTGATGGGTACACAGGGGTTCGCCATACTATTCTACTTGTATAATCTATTTTTTAAGAGTTTTTTTAGAAAATCTGACCATATAATAAAATAAAATGATACAATAAAAAACAGGAGTACAGTTACAGATGGAAACTAGCAATGAATTCTATGAAACAACAACATAACACAAAACAACAGTCTCTTCATAAGCAAAACTGTAAGAATGGCCTGAACACGGAAAAATGGTGACAGGAAGATCACCACCCAGAATATGCTAAAGTTTATAAAAAACATTATTTCAAGGGATTGGTGGGGGAGGTATTCTTTTCAGTGAAAGAAAAGGAACAAGAAAGAGACTATGCTTGGAGATGATGACTTGATGTTAAAAAAAATGACAGAAAGAAAGCTGAAAGGCTTAAACAGTATTTTGCTTTTATATTCTCTATCAAGGAGAATTATCTTCAATCTGGAAAGAATAGAACAAATGTAGTTGAGAGAAAAATGAAGCCTAAGATAGGTGAAAAGATAGGGAAAGAAAACCTGTATTTTAAATGAGTTCACAATTCTAGACCCAGATGAATTATATCCCATGGGACTTAAAAGAAACTGCAAATGCAATCACAAAATCATATTACATAGTCCTTAAGATAAGCAAGTGCCCTAATATTCAAAAAGGGGACAAAAGCTCTATTGCTACTTCAGACCAATGCAACTAAAGTCAATTTTACAAAAGATCCTAGAACAGATTACTATGTAGATAGATAGTTGGTGAGCAAGAAGTCCTAATTTTTTAAGTTTTAAACAACAATGTAAGTACAAATATGATAAACTATTTAGACTGTATTTAGGAACACAGCTTAGTACTGAAGTTAAATGAAATTTATAATAGTGACATATTTAATGTTATACACAATTTTTATCATACTGCATGATAATCGAGCATAGAGCCCTTCATGCAAATGAAAATGATTACCATTCTTTTAAAAGCAGCATTTCTCTTTTTTTATTTGTTAATTATTTACTTACCAAGAGAAACTATTCCTCAGCCTGAGTATTCATAGCTCAGGAACACAAGTCAGTGACAAACTTCTACATAAATCAACCTAAAGAAATTCTTTATATTCCAAAATCACTTTGCACTCTGAAAGATACCAGCCTTCCTCATCTCCTCAAAATCTTTCATAGAATCATAATTCCTGTAGAAATCTGCATATGCCTTCTTACTTGGTTCAGCCACAGCAAACTTATACAAAACTGCAACCCCCAAGGATAAAATGGATGCTCTGACAATATGAAACTGTAGATACCTGGCCAGGAGGCCACGCATCTGAGGCTCCATCAGAGTGCTGGAAGCCATGGTAGTTACTGTCCTTGATGGGTATGCCAACCTCAACACAACCTTCCTGGCTGCTAGAGAAATGAACTACCTAAAAGCAGCATTTCTGAAGTAAGGAATGGGGAATGGGAGACAGAAGCTAGCAGTGGCTACTCCACTCCCCACCACTACATTCAGACAAATCTTAGGGAAGAGGTGGCTCTGCCTTAAACCAAGCCAGTCCCAGACTCCAAATGCCATCCAGTGCTAGGACTCAGTAGGTGGAGCTGGGTAACCATGTCTTCTGGGATTCCCTGTGAAAGTAACCCAGGAGAATGTGGTTCTACCGGGATAAGGGATATCCTTATCCTCTCTGATCAAATAATCAGCAAGAGGAAAGTCTTCCATGCACCTTTTGAACATGCAGAAACTATGGGATTGGGTTAGCTGGAGTAAGTGGTTTAGGCAGAAGGAAGGAGGAGACAAAGGAGAAAACAAAGGCATGATTCACTTGTCAGCTGCTTTTGAGGTGTTTGTTATTTAATATCAAGTGTTCAGGGGATGGGAGTGGAATGGATGTATTAGGGTGAGTCTGAGTAGAGAAGTGAGGTAGGGGAAAAGAGGAGGGAGGCAGGCACCTAGTGGACAGCTCCCGGGGACAGAGGTGAGGGGAATGATAAGAGTTGAAAGAAAGATGCAACAAGAGAAAGCTTCTAAAGAAACAAAATTCACAGACTATGGAATGAGCCCTGAGTTTGAAATACACTGCCTGCCATTTGCTTCAACATTCCAGTGTGTGTTTGTGGGAGCAGGGGCAGGGAGGGAGGAGAGGCAGAGATGATGCAAGACTGACCCTGGGATGATAATTGTTGAAGCTGAGTGATGGGTACACAGGGGTTCGCCATACTATTCTACTTGTATATATTTCTATTTTTTTAAGAGTTTTTTTTTTTAGGTACTAAGTGTTTACCATTTGACTCAGAGTAAAAACAAAAACCTATAATCTTTATGCTAGCCTACAAAGCCCCCTTCTCCTGTTACTTCTCTAGCCTCCATGCAGCCTACATGCTCCCTCACTCTCGACTATTCCTTGAGCTCACCAGGCATGCTCCTCCCCTTAGGCCTTTGCAAAGCTCATCTCTCTGCTTTGGGTGGAGAGTTGTCTCCACCCACATATGCATGTACCTTACTCACCTTCTCAAGGAGACACCCAGTGACCATGCTATTTAGAACTGCAGCTCACCCTGTGTCCCCCTTCTATGGAACTCCTAATTCTCATCACCCCAAGTAATTTTACCCTACTACTTATCATCTTCAAACATACTATATTATTTACTTATTTCATGTATTATCTTTTTTCACTAGAATTTAAATTACCAGAGGGACAGGGAATTTTTGTTTTGGGGTTTTTGTTGTTGTTCAGTGACTAGAAAAATGCTAGGCACCCAATAAATGAGTGAAATGAATATAGAAAATTTTAGAGCTACTTAGAAGCCTGTGGCAAGGGATGGGGTAGATGTCTTTGGCCTTAGCTTTTCTTGAGTAAAGCTAGCATCTACTCCCACTCTACTGTTTTATGCTAAACAAAAAAACTGGGGCATCTAATTTCTGAAGAGGAGTGAAGAATTTATACATAGCGCATCAGAATTACTGCCCTCCTCCCCAACTTCTAGGGAGAGATTTCATAACTTGGTTTTGAGACATCTAAGGCTATATCCAGTTACAGCTCGTGACATCACAAAATTCTTAACCAAACTCCTCAAAAGAAAGTGAGGAATTTCTGTCTAAACCATACGATAATTAGAAAATCTCTCAAAACTGGGGCTTTGTAGTTTTTAGGAAATTTTAGGCTTTGGAAAAATACATATATTTAGGAGGAAGTTATCTCAAGACAAATGTTCAAAATCATTTTTATGATTAGGAAGACTGTGGGCACCAAAATCCAATTTAGAGCTACTTTGTGCCAAGACTTTTTTTTGTACGAGGTAATTTCCAACAGGCTTATCCCTTCCTGCATTTACAGCTCTCTCCCGTAGCTCAAGTTACTCCTACATGCACCTTCATTTATCTATGGCACAAACTAGCTATGGAGCTTGAACATACTCCTTCTGTGGGCCAATTTTCTTATGATTACAAAAATACCCTTAGATGTGCGGGGTGTGTGTGTGTGTGTGTGTGTGTGTGTGTGTGTGTAGTTGTGTATATCACTCAGTACTTTCAGAATAGAGACAAAATATTGGGAATTCAGATAAACAATAGAATAAAACCCCACAAAAACCTGGGAATCATTGCCTTAATGATAGCATGGGAAAGGGATTATCCACATCTCCTTTAACAGTGTTATTTATCAAAGAAAATACTGTTTGATTTACTTACAAGTGATTGTTCAGCAGTGTGTTGCAGCTTAAAGTACAGAGGCTGTTCAGAGTCTGGATGACCTTTCCAGAGCAGACCAAAATGTAAACTCAGGGTAAAATGAACAGGTTCTCTGCCTTCCATTTCCACAGATCAGGTCTAGATGCCCTACCATGCTCCCAGGCTAAGGAAAGAGTGCCATCTGGAGGATCTCCGTTTCAGAGAGAAACGTTTTGGCAAAACTGATCATGAAACAGATCACCAACCATTCAGGACCCACATAGAAACAGGAGCCATTATCAGTAATCTCACAGATTCAGGCTGTTTCCAGACTTGCCTTTTTAATAAAAACTTTCCTTTTTCTTTTTTTACAATCTTAGGACATGTTTCTTGAATTTCACTTCTCAAAGTCATTTGTATAGCTCTGATTGCTATCTGAGAAAGGGTTTCTACTACTTGGCCCACAGATCCACTGAATAATTCAAGCCTTACAGTTCCCTTTCTCCCATAATCTACCAGGGGTCCTCAAACTTTTTAAACAGGGGGCCAGTTCACTGTCCCGCAGACTGTTGGAGGGCTGGACTATAGTTTTTAAAAAACTATGAACAAATTCCTATGCAAACTGCACATATCTTATTTTGAAGTAAAAAAACAAACAGGCAAAAACACCCACATGTGGCCCGTGGGCCATAATTTGAGGACGCCTGATCTACACTCTTTCTAAAGGAAGAAGGTGCTACTCCCATCCCAACTCAGGTTCCCAATCAGAACAGGTACCCTCAAAGGTCTTGTAAGAGCTGCCAGACCCAACTCCCACATGCTCAATCAGATGATTCATCCCTAACCAGAATGAACATCCACTTAATCTTCCACTATCAATGCCTTGGCCAAGGAAGAGGATGGAGTCTGCCTGCTGTGTGCCATAGTATATAAACTATTCATTAGGGAAAATAGTTCCAAGGGACTGCACCTACACAGCCTAAGAACTGCAATGCAGTTTTCTGTGTTACTGCGGGGAGGGAAGGAGTGAAGAGCATGCTTTTCAGTTATAAGAGATCCCACCTCCAAATTGCTATACCTGTCAAGCAACAGGAATAGCTTCTATGAACAAAAGAAATCTGCTGTTCTGTGTAATAGGCCTGTGATGCATTTATTTCAGTTCTGCCCTTAGTTCCCCATTCTGTCAATTGCTGAGAAAAGTAATGCTACCTGAAATTATGTGAATTTTCAAAAATGGGTATTTTCTTCACCTGTGAAAATGGCCCCTGCCTGCTCTCTTAAGAAACCCAAGTCCTTTGTTCTCAAAACAAACAAACAAACAAAAAACCCCCAAAGCTGGTTCAGATAATTCTTTTCGGGGTTCTCATAGGACATGCAAAATATAGACAAATAGCTTATTATTAACCACAGCTGAGTCCTGTTATAAAAAGAAAACCAGTCTTCTTTCTTAAATAGTTCTTCTATGACACTCAAATTGGAAAAAGAAAGACTAAGCAACCAGAATGACTTAATTAAAGGTGCTAAGCCAGTACTCAGAGCAAGAGGGTGAAGGCAGAGAATACTGGAAGGCAAGAGGAAAAACAATTGGTTCTATGTATGTAAGGGATTAGGAGAATGAGGAGTAAGGAAGCACTCCCATTGTACTAGCAACTTCCTTCAGACAGCACCTGTCTCAAAAGCACATAAAGATCACACACCTCTAACCCTCTTTTCTGGAGAGAAAACTGTATTTTAGTATGAAGATATACAATTCAGAGTCCTAGAGAAGTCCAAGATAAGTTCCTCCAATGGCTGCAGAGTTAAAATTACAAAAAGTTGAGCTGAAGGATTACTTACGTCCACCAAACAAAGGATTAGGCTATAACAGAGCCCAGAATTAGCATCTCATAGCACATACTTTCCAAAGGAACTTCAGCAATTAAAACTTTGCCATTTGACAACATGTAGAAACAGTAGAGCTTCAGAAGGTGGAAAAAGTCCAACCAAGAAAATAAAATTTAGTTGAAATAGCAAAAAGTGCAAACAATTTATAATTAGAGAAACTCTTAAGAGTCCTAGGAATTCTGAGAAATTACCAAGTAGTGTTATAAAGAAAGGAGATAAATTAGTGAGTATTCTGTGAGTGTCATATACTTCAACACAAAGAATGACATAGAAGGTAAAATAACTTGTTGGTCTCTTTTGTCAAAGCTTCCATGTTATTAAAGACAGTCACCCTTAACTCTAAAAAGCATTATTTATTGGAAAGAAAAAATATTACAAGAAGTCTCTGTAATTCCCGCAAGGCTAAATATGGTATCCCTACTTCCCACCTCCACTCCCCAAAAAATATTTCCCATTTGCTCACAAATTTTGTACCCTGACTCTTGGAATCTCCCAGATTCCTTGCTCCAAAGCCAGGGCCTACATTTACAATGTACATAGTTCCCAGGGGGTGCTGGAAGCAGCATGAAACAATGCTGCCTGACAGTTTCTCATCTAATCAAAATAGGGTGACTAGAATGTCAATGAAGTGAAGTGCTTTACTAGATAACTTATCTTAATATCCAGTTCAAACACAAAGCCTCATACAGGCCAGGAGGTAAGAAGTTTTTTTGTCAAGTCAAACTTCCATGATATATTGGTTCACCAAAACCTATGGGTGATTCCAAGAAGTCTTTAAGGGAGTAATTATGCCAAGGGAGGAATCCACATAGTTAAGAAGTCATAGCTTTCTCAAGAAGATGGAACTATTTAATCTTAGCAAGGGCAGCTGCTCTTCTTTCTGTGTTCTGGAACAAGGCACGAATTAAAGCTTTTACTTCACTGGAAGAGAATGCAGTTGCCAGAGGCCCTTTTCCATCTGCCCACCTGCAAAACAAAAGATAGAATTCATTTTCTTATTAGGTCTCTGAAGTATAAGCAAAACTTAAAATTTGCTTATTTGATCCAAATGCTTATTTGTTTTAAACAGAAATTAAATCCTGGGCATACTTCCTACACTTCAACTACTTTGACCTCTTTGTTCACTGGCTACATCTGGTATCACCACAGCCAGATGAAGAGACCAATGAGGAAGATGAGACTATTCTCCCCTATTCTTATACTCACTAAGCCCTCTCTGAACTTAATAATCATGACCACACACACTCTCATGCCTTAGGCTCTGTAACTATATTAAAAAGTGAACCACAGGCAACAAATTTTAACTGGCAAAGGACTGATATAAAAAAAAACATATAAAGAACTCCCATAAATCTATAATGAAACCATAAACAACCTATTAGATTAAAGGCCAAAAAAAAAAAAATAGGCATTTTACAATGTAAGAAACATGAATAACCAATGAAATGTTCAACTTCATTAGAATTTATAGAAATGGCAATTAAAATGACAATGAGCTATCATTTCATACCAACTAGATTAGCAAAAATATTCCAGCCTGATAATTCCAAATACTAGTGAAAATGGGACTCAACAGGACAAATAAACTATGAAATATTTATAAAATGGAATATGACACAATAGTGAAATGAACTACAGCTATACGTACCATCATGAATGGATTTCAAAACATAATATTAAATTAAAAAAAATTGACAGAAGATTCCACTTACAGATAGTTCAAAAACAGGCAAGTCTCAACTTTATATTATTTAGAAATATGTGTAAATGTGGTAAGATTATAAAAAGAATGGCAAGGAAATAACATAAAATTCAAGATAGTGGCTACCTCTAATGGAGAGCATGTGGAGAAGGGTAGACAGGAGTTTTCAAAGGTACTGGTATTATTTTTCTTAAGTTGGGTAATAGGCACATGAACATTTATTCTTTTCCTTTAAACTATGAATATATATTACGTATGCTGTATTCCTTCATATGTATATTTTATAACTTTAAAATCTTTAAATTACATGATTAGAAATAGCTTCTTTGGTAAAAAATTTTCTCAATTAGATAGTAGCCTTACATTTACTGAAATCTCTAGGGGAAAAAATTTTCCTAGGCAGAGAAAAGAAGTTGAGATGCATCACTATTGTAATTTTTCTCATAACAAGGAATTAATGATCATTCATAGGCTGCAAGAAGGCCCCTTAATAGCAGAAAGAAAAATTCTTTTTTTTTTTTTTTTTTAAGGCTGGTCAAGTGGAGCAGTGGGAGTGGAGAAGGAACAAAGGAAAGAAAAATTCTTATCTTCTGCCTACCCTCTGGAACCTATTACCTAAAGACATCTTTTTTACCCACTAAGGAGATATAAATTATGAGATATAAATATAAACAAATGAGTAAATCAAAACTTTGTACTAAACATGATTAGAGAT